CACACACACACACACACACACACACACACAAAGCAACAAGCTGGGCGGGTTGATAACATCGCTTTTATCTGCCTCCGCGCGGCTCCCTTGCGCTCTGGTAATTGACAACTTTTCCTCGGATTTGAATCGCTGGCCTTAATCTTGAAGCAGTTAGGGTGTCAATTGTTCTCCTGGAAACCCGGCACCCGACGGCGGCGGCGAGCTTCGTCGAAATTAAAAATGTATGGGACTCCAGCAACTCTGTTTCCTGGCGGTGGCAGTGACATTTGGTGGTAAATGCCATCTTTGCTTTTTTTTTTATTGGGTCGTATTACCTTCTCGGAAAACAGTCACGTTGTTAAACCTGGCGTTTAGGCTAATAATTGCAGTGCGTGGTCTTTAAATATGTGCTTTGTGCACGAGTTACTGTATGTATAGCTATGTGCCCGAGAGACTACGAATTTGTTTAAATACTGAGCAAAGGTTTGTAAACAGATGTAAGGCAATTATGTTTCAAGCGTAGACTATAATTGGAAAATTGGCTGAACGATTTATTTGATTTAACTTAAAAAATTTTTTTTTGATGAACTTATTTTAAGTTGTGTACCCACTTTTGGGAGGGACTGCCTTTGGGAGAGTCTGTATTTTGGAAATTCTTTTCTGTAACCTCTACTGTAGATAGAAGCATCATTTCCTCCTAATCCCTGTTTACCCTGGATAAATAATTTAGTGTTCAAATTGTAATTAGTTTCATTTAATTATGGGTGGCATACATGTTTTTGTTGTTGTTTTCCTTTGAGACTAGTGGAGAAATGAAAATTCTTGCCAACTTCTTAAATGAAAGTGTTATTTTATTAAATATGTTACAGTATTTATGTAGATTAAAAATATCGATATGTGATTTTTTAGCTACAAAGACCAAGTGCCATAGTGTTGGTTTTTTCTTTAAACATTTTTATTCAGGTATTTAATTTTAAAGTTTATTTGTAAGTAGGGATTCTTTCTTTTGATATTGTCCTGTGATGGGACTAAAACTCATTTTGCCTCCTCTTTTTGCCCTATCGTTTAGTATCTGCCAGAATCTAGGACTTTCATACATTAGCAAACATATTGATTAGGGGCCATTTCAAATGTTTGTTGTTTGGCAGCTGGTGACCGCATTGACACTTACTCAGGTAATTAAAATAACCAAGTAGACCAATATTTGTGAGGAGCGATTTCCCCAAATTAGCATATATCACGCTGACTGGTAATGGCTTGTGTATATGTGGCTAATTTGTATATAGTAGGTGCTGGTAGACAACTGCAATATATTACATGCTTAGGCAGTATCTGGGCTGTATCGTTACTTTTATCTCCTGTAAAAGCTAAAGCAAATGATACTATCTCATAGAGGTGTAAAATGCTTGAGATGTTTTTGGAGAAAGAGTTTTGCAGGTGAGGATGCTGATTAGGACTGACCCAAGAGTTGTGCTTTGAGTAGATCGCCATTTTTGTTGTTGTTGTTGTTAAATGCCATCGAGTCGGTTCCGACTCATAGCGACCCTGTAAAGAGTTTCCGAGGAGCGGCTGGTGAGCTTGAACCGCCAACCTTGCCATTCAGACCGACCTTGCAGTACAAACAGTGCATTAAGCCCCAGCACCACACCAGGACTCCAGATTTCCCTTAACCCTCTTTAAATCAGGAACTTATTTGTGAATATACCTTTAAAAAAATTACTGTTTACATAACAACATAGATTGATTTTATTTTTTTCTTAAGGATTATAAAATGCTTAATTGCTGCATTCTGTGGTAGGTACATGGAGGGTGCATAGGGTGCTGTTTTTAAATCTTTATTATGATTCCTTTTAAAAAGATGATTATTGTAAACTTTTCTGATTGCAAATTGAGATTTCCGATTGACAGTTGTATACGGCAGCAACGTAGAATATTGAGACTGCTGAAGGATAACCACCACCAATTCAAAATAAAGCACGCCTTATAAGAATTTTTTATATGTTTGATAATAGCATGTAGTTTTCTTTTTGAACTGTAGGTTTCTTTTCTTTCCTATCCTTTTTTGTTAGTATTGTTTATAGAGAATTTATCTGGATACTCAAATTAGTGTGGATAGAAATATAAACCTAGGGATTAAGGTTCTGCATCACGGTAATGACCTGCCCACTTAGTATTACTTTAAGGTATTCATTATGATTAGAAAAAGTTGATTGTGCAAATAGATGCTGTAAGAGTTCTGCACCTCATTTTTGGTTTTCTACTTGGAAGCATTGACTTTTCTAATTTCTCTTCCCAAACCTTTTCTAACATGTGAAAAATGGTATTATGTCTGTATGATACAGGTCATTGTATGGGTTTCTTGGTCTTATTGCTGTGAATTTTGTAGCTACTGCATTGAATGCATGCCTGGCTGTGCCTTTGTGACTCCAAACTGTTCTCTCACGCTGTCCATCATTTCTGGGTGACTCTTGTTGTAGATTCACTCAGTTATAATTTAGTTCAGTGTGAAATTTGCTTTTTTGGAAAGTGTAACAGTGCGCTCTGTGGCATGTGAACTCACCCTTGTAGGATGACTTTATAATTTCCAGATGTAAGGTCTAAAGTCTATCTTTAGTTTTGTTTTCTCTTTTGAAGTAACATGGGGAGGAGCTATTTTGTGCTCTGTAGCTATGTTTAAGTGTGTAAGGAGAGACACCTAATTCTTGAGTGTGTATGCCTCACATTTGTATTGGTTTTATTTGTTTAGAATCTTCCCGAATGTGAATGATCTCAAATTTTTCCTGCCTGAATTGAAACACATAGATTCACTAGTACTTAATTCTTATTGAGGAGTTTGAATTCTGCATTGGAAGCTCGGAAGGTATTTCTGTTGCTGACCTGATTGCTTTTTTCATTTAGAGATTTATTTTTGCCGAAAGGAAAGATAGTTGTAAACGTATAAACTCCGAAATCTACTCTATTGAGCTAAAACCAAATTAGAGAATTTGGTATCAAAGGAAAGTAATAATACAGAAGAATGATTTCTAAAATTTTCTAAAGTTCCCCCCTAATACATAAAGAGACATATCAGCATATCTCTTCATCTCAATTTGCAATTTTAGTGTTTTCATTTAAAGAACGTTTTTTTCCCCCCATGATGGTTCATTTTCTGTAATGAAAATATTTATAATTTGCTAATGTGTGTTTTCTGTTTAACATCTTGTTGTTAGTAGCACATGGTGTTACTGTATTTATATTTTTTTAATAGCAATAATTGCCACCCTGTAATAGTTGCCATATTAACCTTCAATTGCTAGTAAATATTTTTAAGTACATAATAGACAGCAATTTAAGGCATAGTGTAGCAGTTTACTGGACCATTTTGAAGAGCCATTTGTACGTGTGATGAGTTCATAATTTTAAAGAGAAAATAATGTACCTACGACATGTATGTTAAAGAATAATTTGCTTGCTGTGTTCACAGGGAAAGTTAGATTGGGTCTGTTTCTTAGAATAATGACTGGGGGGCAAGGGGGCGTGCCTTTAGATCACTAAGTGTTTATTGAATTTCTGTCAGGTGCTTATATAGCTTATCACTTTCTTTGGCGTGTTAGTTCATTTTTTCATGAATGTATTTGTAAAAAATCTCTTCAGGCTTTTCTTTAAATGACATGAAGTTAGAGTGGTAATGCTTTGTTAGGGTTAATTCTGATTCATAGTGACCCTGTATGGAACTGAAGAAACACTGCCCACTTAAAGAGTGGTAGGTTCTATTATCTTAATTAGGTATGGAAAAATTCCTTTTATTGTTCACTGACTAATTAAGCCTAGTTAATTATGAGTTAATTGTATTCATCAAACTCTTTCAGGGACCTCCTCTACTCTTGAGATTAATAAGAAAGATTCTAAGAAAAATATTCCACCACTAGTTTGTTCTAGGTGCTTATAAATTAGAATAAACCTTTCAAAAGATAAGTCCATTTTGTTGTTGTTTTTAAACCTATTTAAAATTGAGCCAGAAAAATCTTACCTCAGTGTAAATAATAATGGGATTGGATTGTCTGTGTGGATGTTTTTATGGGTAGGTCATTCAACTCAAAGTTTTATTCAAACATAGATTTACATGTTTTTCTCAAATGATTTTGAGATTTACTTTTGATAGAAGCAAATAATGTTGTCCTATGTAAAGTAAAATGTTCTTTTTTCCTGAATATTAGTGATACATTTATTTCACAGGAGGTTGCCAGTAACATAAATTAGACAAAATTTACGAGAATTACTTAATATGGCTATCTGGTATTA